ATTCAAAGAACAGAATAATTCAAAAAATCCCTTAGCATATTTTTGAGTTTCACACTTAACTCTTCTGAGCACTTTAAAAAATCTGTTTACAAACATATCTTCGGAAATAAATATTGGATATGGTCTACTAAAGAAATTGGTGTTCATGTTAGGGATTTTTCAAATGTACTTATTTATTTTTTTTAAGTTGATGTATAAAATAGCATTACTTACCATGTACAACATGATTTTTTGAAGCATAGTACATATACATTGTGAATGTTATATCTAGCTAATTAACAAATGTCTTATTTTACACAATTATCATTTTTGTGGCAAGAACACTTAATATCTACTCTCTTAGCATTTTTCAAGAATCATCAGTAGGTTACCAGAAGCTGGAAGTCTTTACAGGGGGAGGGACTGGGGAGATGCCAGCCGACAAATTCATATTTGCGGTTAGATAGGAGGAATAAGTTCAAGAGATCTATCATACATCATGGGGACTATAGCTGATGATATATTGTATTCTTGTGTTAGTTTTTCTTACCCTGTAACAAATTACCACAAACAGTTTAAAACAGCACTCATTTATTTTTATCTCACTGTTTTCATGAGTCAGAAGTTCAGGCACAGCTTAGTTGGGTCCTCGCCTGAAGGTCTTACCAAATTGTAATCAAAATGTCAGCTGGCGTTGTGGTCACATCTGTGGCTCCCTTGAGGGTTTCCTGAAGGTTTGTTGGCAGAATTCCATTACTTGCAGCTATAGAACTCATGACAGCTTGCTGCTTTAACTCTTTAGGAAAACACCTCCAAACTCCAGGAAGGCTCATCCTATTTGAAATGGCTCAGCTGATTAGGTCAGACCCACCTTTGATAATCTCCTTTTGATTAACTCAAAGTCAAACTCATTAGAGGTTTTAATTGCATCTGTAAAATTCCCTCACCTTTGCCCTATAACATAACCTAATCATGAGAATCGCATCCATCACATCTGCAAATCCTGCTCATACTTGGGAAGAGAGGAATCACACAGGAATCTTGGGGACCATCCTAGAATTCTGCCAACCATGGGGTCATGGTTTTAAAACCAATATATGGTTTCGTATAAAGGATCCCTGAACGCTTGTGCTATTCTTAGTTTTCTATGTAGTCTGCCATAATACTAGTTTCTAAAACTCAGAATGTAGCTTACAGTCTGCAGCCACCAACTTGTAATACATTAGAAGTGAAATCATTTCTATTTAATTCATTTTATATATATGTATAATATATAACATATTTCACATATTTTTATATACGTGAAACCTCATCATAAACTTTAAATAATAAATGTGCATAGTATTATAGGCATTATATCAAGCCAATGGAGAAAACTATCTAGGCATGAAAAGTTTCTGAGAACAATCTGGAACCCACAAATATAAGCTTTACAAAAGATGGAATGCCTTCCTGAAACATATAAGCTGATTATTTTTAAGGTTAGATTTTTCCAGAAAAAGAAACCAAATGGCTTTCTTGCTTTGAGAAGTCTTTATAAATATGTGATTGGACAATAATTATCACTGGATGTTCCAGATTTAACCAGAAATTCTTTTATCTAGAAACTGCTTATATTATTAACCTCATTCTGTATTGACAATTTTACTATGAAAAAAAAAATTAGGAAAAATCTGCTCACTTTACTTTGGCCAAAGATGCTGATTGTAAATATTAAAATAAATTTATTTTTTCTTAAGGGCCATCTCAAAATGAACTTCGAGAAGCCAAAGTGAAAATCATAGGTGATGATGTCTGTAAGCAACCACAGGTGTATGGCAATGATATAAAACCTGGAATGTTCTGTGCTGGATACATGGAAGGAATTTATGATGCCTGCAGGGTAGGTTGGAGTGGAGGATTTTTTATATTATTAACCTAAAAATTTTTATTTGGCTCAGGAAATATTATATGTTCTTTATATAGGGACAAAATATAGACAACATGTCAGCTCAAAAAAGTTATAAATGCAAATTTCACAACACAAAATACTTTTAAATGTTTTCTTAAGAAAAATGAAATAAGAGTTTCTCTGATGCTATCAAACAAATAAAATCAGAACTTCTTAACCTGGAACCCAAAGAGTAATAAAGCAGTTTATTTTTTCAAGGCGCTTACATTCAAGAAAGAAAATAATCATAAATGAAGAAGTATAAAGTGATGTTATAAATACTATAATGAAAAGCAAATATTTTCTTGAAGGAAACATTTTTGGAGTAAGTATCAGAGAGATAAGATGTAAATAAGTCCTGAGGAATAAATAATACTTATCCAATTTCAGAATAAGAAAATAATGTTATAGGAAAGAAAAAAATATAGCCAAAATTATAAAGGTATGAAATTACAATTCATATCTGAGAGAACTCCAAGTAATCTGTTGGGTCTCAGCATGAGGAGAATAAGAGGAGAAACAAGTTCACAACCATGAGAAGGTGGATTAGGCCGTGGTGTGAATCCATGGGCCCTCTCCAGTGGCCTCCTCTGCCTTCTAACATGTATCTTTTCCAATTAAGGTATGAATGTGTTTCCTCCTGGAGACACTTGCTATTTAATATGAGATTCTTTAAAACTCCAAGGAGGCCACTCTATGTGGAAATGATGGAATGGTATTGATGTCAGGTGGCAGAAAGCCCTGTCCACAACCTATCCCACATGGGCAACCTCTATCAGAAAAAGAGCAGGGAGCTATGTAGCATAGGGGCTGGGCAAAAGCTGGATCTGGTCCATAGCTAGTTCCAGTGGCTGAGAATGTGGAGGGGGGCAGCCAGAATTTGGGGACTCCAACAAAAGGTCCATACCAAGGGAAACAGGTGGAAGGTGGCAACAGGAGCCTGGGAGCAGACGGGACAGAGGAATTCAGGTGAACCCTGAGATTACTGAAAAGCCTTAGGAGGGATTGGTGGTCATAGAAAGGCTTCCCTGGATTGGGGAGCAGAGGTAAGCTGCTGAACTGGAAGCAATAGCAGAATCACAAACCTGGATCAAGTTGTCAAAGTCTTTCATTTACAGCTTTCCTATAAGCAATTCTGATCCTTTTCTCAGTTGTGTTTAGGTCTTCCCTGGCTAGACCTCTGGTTGAAAAAGTAGGGGCTCTTTCTTTCTCCTTTCCCCACAAAGCAGGCTTTAGGATCAATCATGCATATGCAGGATGGGATTTATTAAGTTATATATCAATATTTGGTAAATTGGAGAAAGGAAAGCTGACGGTGGTGCTTGCACTTCTGTTGTATCAGACTAGGCCCCTCAGCATGTGCCCCAATTACAATCACTGAATTCCTGTCTCAGATCCTTGTACCTGAATTGCTGCCCTGATAACTTCCCCTGTTTTTCTATGACTAGAGCTTTGTTTTATCGCTTACTTTGCACAGTTAGTGACTTAGGTGGAGAGAGGAGTGGAATACCATTTTAAGTAAGACTGATATTTTGGGAGAGCATCTAAAGCTGAAGTTTGGGGTCAGGCATGAGCTAGAAAATGGGTATGGAAATGTTTAAAGACTTCACAGAGAGTACTTGGAATTCCCCATTTCTTCCTATCCTGAATAACCAGTCTTATCAATATCACATCTCTACTTTCCCCACCTCTACCACCTCTTTCAAAACATATGAACTCCAGAGATGAGAAGTTTGTACTCAGGACACTAAACATAGTAGAAAGCAGAGGGGGCCTGAAAAGGTGGGATTATGTGAAAGCAGGCCTCAACCTCTTCCCATGCTTTCTCTCAAAATGTTGCAGGCAGATGTACACATTCTCTCCAACTTTCTCCCAGTGAAAGAGATTGCAAGATTCTTCTCTAGAGAAACCCACCATCTGGATTAAAAAAAAAAAAATACCTCCACACACTGATATTTGAGAGGCCCCTACCAGAATAAAGTGTATCAGTCTAGAAGCCCTCCTACCTGTCTTAGTTCATTTTGTGCTGCTGTAACAGAATGCCCAAAACTAAGTTCATATAAGGAACAGAGATGTATTTCTTACAGTTCTAGAAGCTGGAAAGTACAAGGTTGAGGGCCCCACAACTGGTTTTCTTTCCTCATCAACCCATGCAGAAAGGTGGAAGGGCAAAGAGAGCACACAAGTTGGATGGAGGGAGAGAAGACCAAACTCATTCTTCTATCAGGAACTTACTCCTGTGATAACAAACTCACCCCTCTATGATAATAATATTAATTCACTCATGAGAGCAGAGCCCTCATGACCTAATTACCTCTTCTTGGGTCCCATCTCTCAACACTGTTGCTTTGGGGATTAAGTTTCCCCAACACAAACTCTTGGGCACACATTCAAACCATAGTACCACCCATCATAAAAGCACAGAGTTTCCAATCTGGTTTCTAGCAAAATGCACTAGAACCAAACAGTAAGAATCATCTCTGGAAATGTAGCAATAATATAATTATAATTTTAAAAATCCAGTGGAAGGATTGGAAGATAAAATCAAGACAATCTCTCAGAAAGAACAAAAAAGACAAAGAGGAGAAAAATAACAGGAAAAAATAAGAAAAATGGAGGATTAGCTCAGGAGGTCCAACATCAGGAGTAGGAGTTCTGAAAACATAAAACATGAGTGTACAATATAAAAAAAAAAAATAAGGAATGCTTCTTGTTCTGAAGCTTACATGCATCCTATTGAAGAAAAGGTCCAAGTAGTGCTGGGCACAATAAATGAAGTGGTTCTTTCCAAGACATACCATCATGATGGGTCAGAAGCCAGGGATAAGGAGAACAATCTTAACACTTGGAAGGGAGAAGCGTCATAACTGTGTAGAAATCCTCCACAGTAACTCTAGAAGGTAGAAGACAGTGGAAAATGCATTCAAATTTCAAAGGGAATATTATTTCAACCTAGATTCCTGCCCATGCTAATTAAATATCAATTGTGAGAGTGGAATTAAGAATTTTAGACAAGCAATGACTCAAAAATATGTATTTATGATACTCTCATTATTATTATTATTATTTGTTTTTTATTTTACTTTAAGTTCTGGGGTACATGTGCAGATCATGCAGAATTGTTACATAGGTATATACATGCCATGGTGGTTTGCTACATCCATCCCCCCCATCATCTACACTAGGTATGTCTCTTAATGTTATCTTTCCCCAATTCCCCCACCCCCTGCTACCCCTCCCCTAGCCTCCCAACACCCCCAACAGGCCCTGGTGTGTGATGTTCCCCTCCCTGTATCCATGTGTTCTCATTGTTCAACACCCACTTATGAGTGAGAACATGTCGTGTTTTGTTTTCTGTTCTTGTGTCAGTTTACTGAGAATGATAGTTTCCAGCTTCATCCATGTCCCTGCAAAGGACATGAACTCATCCTTTTTATGGCTGCACAGTATTCCATGGTATATATGTGCCACACTTTCTTTATCCAGTCTGTTATTGATGAGCATTTGGGTTGGTTCCAAGTCTTTGCTTGTAAGCTGTGCTGCAGTGAATATACATGTGCATGTGTCTTTATAATAGAACTATTTATAATCCGTTGGGTATATACCCAGTAATGAGGCTGCTGGGTCAAATGGTATTTCTATTTCTAAATCCTTGAGGAATCGCCACACTGTCTTTCACAATGGTTGAACTAATTTACACTCCCACCAACAGTGTAAAAGCCTTCCTATTTCACCACATCCTCTGATACTGTCTTTCTTAGGAAACTACTTGAGAGGGCACCTCAGCAAAATGAGGGAATAAATCAAGAAAGTGGAAGACATAAGACCTGAAACTGTGAATCCAACACTAAAAAGTGGTGACAGGGCCGGGTGCAGTGGCTCACGTCTATAATCCCAGCACTTTGGGAGGCCAAGGCGGGTGGATCACGAGGTCAAGATATCGAGACCATCCTGGTCAACATGGTGAAACCCTGTCTCTAGTAAAAATACAAAAAAAATAGCTGGGCATGGTGGCACATGCCTGTAGTCCCAGCTACTCGAGAGGCCGAGGCAAGAGAATTGCTTGAATCCAGGAGGCAGAAGTTGCGGTGAGCCGAGATCGCACCATTGCACTCCAGCCTGGGTAACAAGAGCAAAATTCCGTCTCAAGAAAAAAAAAAAAAAAAAAAAAGTGGTGTCAGATAAAGCCAGCACCATAGGTCTGCACCAGGCTTAAAGTAACCAGCCCAAATTTGAGCACAAGAAATAAAAAAAAGTGTGGGGGTGTGTGTATGTGAATATGGTGAACATCTTCAGAGGAAGCAAAAGAACTAACAAGCTATCTGATGTCCTTGAACGTTAGTAAACATTATTGTGAGATGTTTGTAGATCTTTTGAAACGTTCAACATTTACTAGGCATATAGAATACTAACCACACTAAAAAAAAAGAATTATTAATTCTAAGAAAGCCAAAAAATTTCTGTGATCCAAGTATGTTACTTGACTTTTCAGTTAATACAATTTACAAACTCCATTAAACATAGGCTAATTTAACCAAAAATAGAGATGTTATAATGTAAAGATGTGGTATGGAAAAGTTGCAAAGAGGTTGTAAAACAAAATAAACTTAAATTTTTAAATGTGAAAGTTAAACCTAAGGCTCTTCGTAATTTTAAAATCCGTCTCAATTAAGTACTCTGTGTTGATAGTCTATACATGTATTGTCTAGCAACAAAATATGTGATTCATCAAAATATCTTAAAAGAGCTTTATGTTTAGCTAATTTTCATTCTGTTTTCCCACCCTTTTATTTTTAGGGTGATTCTGGGGGACCTTTAGTCACAAGAGATCTGAAAGATACCTGGTATCTTATTGGAATTGTGAGCTGGGGAGATAACTGTGGTCAAAAGGACAAGCCTGGAGTCTACACACAAGTGACTTATTATCGAAACTGGATTGCTTCAAAAACAGGCCTCTAATTCACCATAAAAGTTAAAACAAGGAGAGCTGTATGCAGGTCATATATGCATGAGAATCCAACTATTTAGTGGGTGTAGTACAACAAAGTGATATTAAATTACTGGATCTGGCAACATAAAACACAACATAACTTATTTAGAATCACTTTAATCAACCAATAATCCTTAGCCAATTTATAAGGGACTTTTATTTGTAAAGTAATGGATCTGTTTAGCCTGGGTTGAAAAATACAGTAGAGATACTTAGCTCTTTAAATCACAAATGTTGAAGTACAAATGAGACTCAATACAAATTTTTGAAGATAGTCCATGAGATTTTTAGAATGTCTTTGTCAAGGGTCTCCTTTTAACTGAGAAATTTTTGAACGGACAAAAAGTTCAGGAAACCCTTGCATAATTCCCTACATTTCTCTAGACCTCACAAATACATTTTTTTTCCTTATTCAATCAGATTTTCCAAAGCACTTTTCCGTCATAAGAAATGAATTTTCTACTTCTAAACCCTTTTGAGGGATACCAATAAAAGAAAGTCATATGTAGGAAATGAAGTCTGATTGTAAAACAAGCCAGAGATCCTCTAACCTTTTTTAAGTTATAAAACCTCTAATTTTTTAGTGACTTCTCTATACACACATGCGCATGCACGCGCGCACACACACACACACACACACACACAGATATTCCTATCCTACAGATATAACCAGTAAAATCCTGGTTAATAAATAATATCTATATAGTGATTAGTTAATCAAAACTATGTATTTGTTAAAAATTTGGGGGAAGGTGATGGTAATTTCATGAGTAGTCTCAAAACACTACTCAATGAATTAGGCATTTCATTGACGCACTTACATATTTTGACCACAAGGGGGAAATTTTGTACATTATTATTGTATGATTAAATACCTGAAAAAAATGATAATTTACTAATTCCTTCAAAAAAATAAAAGAACATTGACTTCCTCTGTAGCTAGAAAAAATTTATGCCCTTGCATTGCTACAGCCAAATAGCTTATAAAGCTTATTGTAATGTCCCATCTATTGCAACCATAAAACCCTAGTTTTAGAAAAATTTAAAAATAAACATAAAATTTGAGCACCTATTGCATATAACACATGAACAAAGTGGTCCAAAAGAGACAACATACGCCATAAGCAATGTGTCTCATGAAGTAATTAAATGAGTATTTTAATACTCTTTAATTGTATTACAAAATACATGTATTTTGTAATACAATTAAATTGAAGTTTTGTGGAAGCAGCCATTCTGCTTCCACAGAATATGGAATGCCTGTGAAACCTTATGGTCTGCAGGCTGGGGAGTCATTTACTCATGTAATCCAAATATGAGACAAATCATTGGAACAATGAACTTACTTTATAATAATTTCCCTCAGGCACTATTGAGAGGCATGAAAATAATCCTAAAATATCTAAAAGAGATATGCAGTTCATTCATAAAACATTTGCTTCATAATTTAGACTCATAGAATTTTAGAGCTTAGAAGAAATTGCATGTCACATAGGCTAATACAGTTGTTATGTGTAAGAGAGCTGAAGCCAGAAAACAAAAATGCCTCAGTGAAGCAGTAGGTAGTCTTGCATCGCCAATGGGCCTAGAACATAGGTACCAATTTCACCTTCCCTTTTTCTTACAAAGTGTCTTTATTATCCCCTATATTTATTGAATCATCAGATCTACAAAATTTTAAGTGAGAGCTATAAAATCTGTCTTAAGGTAGAAAACTCTTAAGGTAAGAATTTTAAATGATGAGATTCATTTAGGCAGCTGGCTGCTGATTCTCTGAATTCATTTCAAGACAAAGTTTCTTCTTCATATATAAATATACATAAGCATATAAGTTATTCTATATTATGGTGGTAAAATTTAATGCTGACTTTAGTTGTTCAGATTCAGGAAATGATCTTAGAACTATAAATATTGTATTTTTAAACTATTTGGTGCAGCATTTCATTATGGGTCACATGTAAGCAGATATTGATATGTCATTTTTAATCTAATAAAGTTGGTGATCAGAGCATTCTACAAACAATATCACTGAGTTTGTTTTAGGCCAATATCATGAATCTTTCAACGGTCATTAAAAATCACAGCTTTTTAAAATAATAATTTGGATCACTCTGAAGCTGAGTTCACAAACTTGGCACTATTAATATTTTGGTCTGGATAATGTTTTATTGTAAGGGGCTATCCTGGTCATTGTAGAATACTTAGCAGCATCCCACTAGATGCCTGTAGCATACCCCTTTTCCCAAATTATTATAACCAAAAATATCTCCAGACATTGGCCAATGTCCCCTAAGGTATAAAATTGGCCCCTATTGAGAACCACTATTCTGGATCCATTTGATCATTTTTAGAAATGTGAGAGACTCCTCAAAGTTATGACACCAAATACTAAGAAACTGTAGTTTTCTGATCAAACTGAATGTTCACTATCATGTTCCAAAAAGAAATAACAGAATACATGACTAGTGCTTCAGTCTGTGGCTGTTTCAAATACAGACTTATCTCCCCACACATAATGTGCTCAAAGAATTTATCTTATACTTCGGCCTAAGCTAGAGGATAGTCATAGAGGACCATTAAATTTTTTCATGAAGATAGGGCTTTATGAGAGACATCCTCTAGCAGAGTTTCTTTAAACACTCTGAGAAGTTTCTAGATTGACCACGATCTGCAGTCGGAAATATGTTTCACATCACAGCTCCATACATATACAACAAACTACATACAAAATTTGAAACAGAAGTTTCATAAAACAATATTTACCCTTACAAAATGTAATGAAATCTACTGTTTTCTATATTATTGTACTCTTTGCTATTCAATGCTATTCCAATTTTAAAAAAACATTTACCTCATCAACTAAATTGATTTCACAATCTAATCAATCATGACTGGCAATGCCAATAAAATGTTCTCAAATAATCACTCACTATTATATTTTTTGTATAAGTTTAAGGGATACAAAGTGCAGATCTGTTACATGGGTACATTGTACAGTGGTGAAGTCTGGGCATTTAGTATATTATTAACATCCATTTGGGGAGGAGTGGAACAAGATAACAGAATAGAAGTCTCCACCGATTGTTCCTCTCCCCAAAAGACACCAATTTAACACTATCTACACAAAATGATCACCTTCATCAGAACCAAAAATAATGTGAGAACTCACAGTATCTGATATTAACTTTATGGTACTAAAAGAGGCACTGAAAAGACAGGAAAAACAGTTCTGCATCACTCACATCATGCCTTTCCCATGCACTGGAAGCAGCAGTGTGGTGCAAAGAATATTTTGGCGTGCTGGGTAAAGACAAATGACAGCATTTTTGAGACACTGAACTCAGTGCTGCCCTATTATAACAGAAAACAAACACAGACTCAACTCAGCTGACACCCACCCATGCAGGGAGCATGTAAACCAGCCCTAACCAGAGGAGAATTATTTATCCCAGTGGTCCAACCTTGTGTTCCTGTGAGCCTCATCACCGTGGGCTAAAGTGTTCTGCAGCTTCAAATAAACTTGACAGCCAAGCTAGGCAACAAGGATTGAAACACTTAGGTGAGTCCCAGTGCTGAACTAGGTCCAGAAAGAGTGGATTGGAGACAACATGTAACCTACTGAGACACCAGCTGAGAGAGCGCTTGCATCACCTGTCCCCTAATCCCAGGCTGCACAACTCATGGTCCCAAGAGACCCATTCCCTCCATTTGAGGAGAGAGGACAGAATAGTGGGGAGGACTTTGTCTTGCCTCTTGGATACAAGCTCAGCCACTGCAGGATAGGGCACTGGTCAGAGTCGTGAGACCCCCTTTCCAGGTCTTAGCTCCTGGATGACATTTCTAAACACACCCTGTGCCAGAGGGGACCCTGCTTCCTGGAAGAGAAGGACCCAGTTTTGGCAGGATTCATCCCCTGTTAACAGAAGAGCCCTTGGGCCCTGAAGAACTAGCAGCAATACCTGGGTACTATGTTGAAGGCCTTGGGAGAGACTCTAAGATGTGCTGGGCTCAGATGAGACTCAGAATATTCCAAGCTGTGGTGGGCAAGGGGTGAGACTCCTTCCCACTCAGAAAAGCAGAGGGAAAAGCAAAGGGGACTTTGTCCTGCACTTTAGGTACTAGCTTGGCCACAAGGGGATAGAGCACCTCATGGGCTCTTGGGGTCTCCACTAAGACTTGACCCTTGGTTGGTATTTCTGGACCTTCTCTAGGCCAGAAGAGAGCCTATTGCCCTAAAGGGGGAGTCTCAGGCCAGGCAGAATTCACCAGATGCTGAAAAAAAAGGCTTTCTACCATTTATTTCTTATTTTTTTGAAAACTTCCTAATCATCTATATTTTATTCCCTCAATACACACCCATCCCCAGAGCAACGGAGATCTTAGTAAATATTTTTAGGTACTTCCCTCCCTTGGTGGGAGACTTACTACTACTTATCATTTGCTGTTATTATTTGTTATAGTCTAATTGCTCTGTTTTAAACGGATAAATGTTGCTTCTTTTGAAGCATCTAAAAACAAAAATCAACAAAACAGTTTTTAGGTCAAAACTTAATGTAATTTTACTTTCCACAAAACTTCTACTTGTTCATCCTCTCCAGTGAAACTACATCTTTGCCAGAGGCCTGATTTGTGTTTTTGCAGAGGCCTGGTTTGTGTTCCTTGTAGGTTATTAAAAAGAGCACTCACCACAGGAATTCATAACATGAGTTCTAAGGCCTTTAATTTACAGCACTGCATAGCTATAGATATATTTTTCCAAAATAACTACTTTAAAATATTACCATATATTTACATCAATACATAATAAGACAATGTCTCTGACTTTTAAAGGTTGTAATTAATTTCCTTCTACTACATTATATAGTATTATCACTGCCTGAGAATTCCTTTTTTTTTTTTTTTGAGACAGAGTCTTGATGTGTCACCAGGTGCCAGGCTGGAGTACAGTGGCACAATCTTGGCTCACTGCAATCTCCGCCTCCTGGGTTCAAGCAATTATCCTGCCTCAGCCTCCCTAGTAGCTGGGACTACAGGCGCATGCTACCACGCCCAGCTAATTTTTGTATTTTTCAGTAGAGAGGGGGTTTCACCATGTTGGCCAGGATCGTCTCGATCTCTTGACCTCGTAATCCACCCACCTCGGCCTCCCAAAGTGCTGGGATTACAGGCATGAGCCACCACACCCGGCCGAGAATTCCTTTAAGATGAAAAGATAGATATAAATGTCAAGACACTGGAAAAAAACAAATCAACTCCATGTCCCACTCAAATTATACTTAGTCATAACCTGAAAAAAAACATATTTCATAGCAGAAAACAAAGCAAAACAAAACAAAAAACCTGTGACTTCTCTGGAAAAGTGAAAATAATTTATTTATTCCACTTCCAAATGAACAGGAAAATATAAGGTATTTTTAATGACATAACAATCACAATGAAATTAATTATTAAAAAATAAATCTCTGGGAGACAGGAGAGGCTCCCTTCAATTCTAAGGTATCTACCCAGTTAGAATGTTTACAACAACCCAAATAGTGCTGTTGACTAAAGCCCACTAGGTAGACAAGACAAATCTGTATCTGCAATAGATTTCTATTCCTGTGAAAAGAAATGGCTGGCCCTTCCAGG